AGAGAACATGGGTACCAGTGAATATAAGTATTGGGGAACATAAGTACCAGAGAACATGGGTACCAGTGAATATAAGTATTGGGGAACATAAGTACCAGAGAACATGGGTACCAGTGAATATAAGTATTAGGGAACATAGCTACTAGGTATGCTTCCCTGTAAGCCTTCTGCCCCACTAACTTCAGTATTTTGCAGTGGTTCTGAAGTAGTCAATATCAAAGTATAGCATAAAAAAKCTCCTAAACTAGTTTTGATTTTCGACTTTGGTGGGTTGCCACTAGATTATCAGGGACCCTATCTGGCACTTCCTTTGAAAACTCAATATTGTCAATATTGACAACATCGTCAAACACTGGATGTGTCAGTTATTTTTTGTTAGCTATGATCCATTTTGGTTTGTTTATTTTTAGTGTCTTGTGTTTTCATTTTTAGTTACGTTTCTCTGGGTTTCCCATGTGCCACAGCTTGTTGGTTAGTTACAGTTTACTGTACTTTTCCACAGTCAGTATTTTTCCAGCCAYCCTGCCACTCCCATCTACACCTGCTCTGTTGCACCAGTCACAGCTGCAGCCACTCTACCCATCAGCCCCAGTCGTAGAATCCTTTGATTTCACTTCACTTGCCAGTTGAGCATTGTTGAGTAATGATGTTTAATAACACTGATTTCCTTTCAGATTCTGATACAGAATAAAACTCAGGCTTGGACTGGCGATAGATCCAATACTGATACTTTGTGCAAATAAAACAGTAGCAGTTCTGTAAAAAAAATAAATGTAGTGTACTTCAAATCATTGCTTCATACAGAATACAAGACATCCGAGTAATTTATTTATTGTCCCTCATCGCCAAAGCAGGGGACAGAAACGCTTTCCGTCTGTCCYTGACAGGGTCCATCAACGATTGGCGTTGAGTTCTAACTTGTTTATTTTAAACTCGCATATTGTTGTAGCTTCCTTTTTTACAATAAAGCTGAACTAATACAACAGAAAAATTAAATGGACACAATCACTCAAAATATGGGAAAATGGTGTTTTAAACAATAAAAAATGAAGTAAAATAAAAAAAATTACAATAAATTGTTTAATTATCAAGAACTATTATAGCAATGAAAACCTGTGTCTTAATTTACGTTACATGAACATGTTACCATAAAAGCATTTAAAATGGAACACCTGAACATGTGCCGCTGCACTGACGCAAGTAGGAGAAAAAGTAGTTCGTATGTATATGTGTATATGTATGTGTATGTATGTGTGTATGTATATATGTAAGTATGTGTATATATTGTATATGTATATATGTATATGTATGTGTTTGTATGTATATGTGTATAAATGTGTATATGTACGTATATGTGTATGTATATGTATGTATATGTGTATGTGTTTGTATGCACAGTATGTGTGTATGTGTATATGTATATATGTATGTGTATTTGTATGTATGTATGTATGTATGTATGT